GGCCGGGCTTAAGCGCCCCCCTCCCCCGGTAGGAAAGCAGGAGCCCTGGGGCGGCGAGAGGGTCCTGGCAGCGAGGGTGGGGGGCGCGCCCCTGCCTCCAGGCTGTGTCCCCGCCGGCTTCCGCATCTGCTCGGGCGGCCCCCTCTGCGTCTGGCTGTCTCTTCTCCCACTTGCGTTTCTCTGCCCCCCTTTGTTCTCGCCACCGAGCGCCCCCCGCAGCCTCCCCTCCCCCCTGGTATTTAAATCGCCTCCAGCCCGGGGAGCCCTCCTCCCTCGGGCCTCCGGGGACACGCTGTGTCCATCCCCAGCGGAGGGGCCCCGTTGGGGGAGGGGCGGGAGGGGGAGGGTCTCCTTTGTCTAAGCGGTGGCCGGCGGCCTCCGCCAGGGAGGGAGGGAGGGAGGAGGGGGAGCCCGGCCGGCAAAGCCCCTAAAGGCTAAGCCCTGTGGCCCCACGAAGGCGAGCCCAGGGCCAGAGCCCCCGAACCACAGGCAGGTGGCCCCTGGGGTGGCTGGGAGGGTGGCATGGGGCACACGGGGGCTCGTGCAATGAAAATGTGCCTTGCTGAGGTGCAGAGGGGGTGCCTCAGTCCAGAGTTGGGGTCCCTTGAGGGAAAGGGTCTGAACTGCTAGCATGGGGCTCCCAGGTCCAGGTGGCCATCCCGCCCCCACGCTCAGGATCCTGGATGTGGGGGCCAGAAAGGGGTGGGGGTGGAAGGACTCTGTCTCCCAGCGAGCACAGAGCACAGCCCTCCCCCGCGGCCTCCGCTTCCGCGTCCCTGCCTGTCTCCCCGAGCCTCACCCTCTTCCTTCCTCCCCCCCAGCCGGCTCAGTTCGGGGAAGCTGCTGGAGCTCGGCGTGGGGGATGGCAGCAAGCTGACTCTCGTGCCCACCGTGGAGGCGGGCCTCATGGTAAATGGCTGGGGCCCTGTGCCCTGGAGGCCCCGACGTGGGCGGGCAGCCCCTTCTGGCCAGCACGGTCCTCTTCACACACATATAGAACCCCTCGCCTGCCAGGGAAGCCCCCCAGCTAGCAGGGCCCCCCAGCCCCCGTGCCCAGGCCCTGGCGGGGAGTGGTACTCAGGGCCGCCTCCCCCCATCTCTTTGTAGTCTCAGGCCTCGAGGCCCGAACAGTCTGTGATGCAGGCCCTGGAGAGCTTGACGGAGACCCAGGTGAGACCCGCGCCGCCGTGCTGGCCCTGGGGGTCGCAAGCCCCGTGCCCGGCCCCTCTGGAGAGCCTGGGGTTGTTTGTGCTCCCAGGAGGCCTGTGGGGAGGGGACCGAGGGGACGCGCTGCCCCGCCTGCGTGCCAGCTTGGCCTGGTCACCCAGCTTCCTCTTCCTCCTCCCCCCAGCACTCACCACCTGACCTTGAGGGCTTTCTCTCCCACGGTGGCCGCCATGGGGGAGGGGGTGAGCTTTCACAAGCCGGCCTGCAGGGTGACCTTGGCCCTTGCTCCCACCCCAGGGCCTTTGTACCCAAGCCCCGCCACCCCCCTTTCTCTAGGGCCTCTGAAGTTTCCTTGGGGTGATCTCTTTTTTAATTTCTGCTGGGGGAGTGCTGGTCTCCGTGACACTCCTTCCGTGACCCCATTGTGAGGGTGGGGAGTCACCACTCCCGGCCTCTTTCTGGCCTTTGTTCTCTGCCCCCAGGCGGGGAGGGGGCACGGGGGCGCGGCCTAGAGGCCTAGACAGGATGTTAGGAAAATATTCAGTAACCCGCCAGGAGGGGGTGAGACCAGGCCGGCCTGGGCTGCCGGCCGGTTCCCGATTTTGTTGCAACCTTTTTTTTTTTTTTTTTCTTTTCTCCTTCTTTCCTCATTTTTCTGGTGGCGGGGCCCTCCTCCCAAGAGGGTGACACAGGCCTCAGCTATCCGCCTGCTGCCAGGGTGGGGGAAGCAGGCTGCTGCCCGCCCCGACGAGGGGGTGGGCAGGTTCCCGGCCTCCCGGCTGGGCTGGCCACAGGAAACCTGCTCAGCCGCTTCCCTTCCTCCTGCCCGGGGCCCTCGCCCCCTCCCCGACATGTAGCATCCTGCCCTCTGCAGACAGCGAGTGCGGAGGAGGGGACCGGGAGCTGGGTGGTCTGCCATGGGGAGGGGGTGGCGGAGAGCGGGGGAGGGGGTCCAGGAGCCAGGTGGGGGTTCCTGGGCCAATGTGAACTGAGCTCCCTGCTCCTGGGTGTTGGGGGGGGTGGGCCTGCGGTTAGCAGGGGGGCCCTGGGGCGTGTTTGGTTCACATCCGCCCTGGGGTGCCTGCGTCAAGAGGGAGGAGATGGGGGTGCTGGGCGGAGCGTCGAGGCTCTCAGGGCTGCTCCCTGCCTGGCACCGCGTCATGCCTGCCCGCTAGCCCTCCCCAGGGAGGAAGTTGCGGGAGGGAGTAGGGGGACACCCCCTTTTCTCCTGGGAGCCACCCTAGGCCCTTCCTGCAGCGGGTATTTTCTGGGGGCTGGGGGATCATGCAGACGGGGTTGCAGGGTCGGAGGGCTGCATACTGCCCACCTCCCTTACCCCGCCTGAAGCCCCCGAGCGGAGAAGGTTACACCAGCAGCTGCCAGTAGAGAGCTGGGAGGCGGTGGTTCTGAGTCATCCAGGCCTGTGTCACTTCTCAGAAACCTCCGCCCCCCCCCCACCCCGGCCCCTGGGGAGACTTCTGCACTGGCCAGGCCCCAAGTGCAGACCAGGGTCAGATGCACCCCACACCCGCTGTGCGGGGGACCCCAGATTGCATAGTTCTTGTCTGTGGGCTGTGTCGAGGCCCCAGGGGGATGGGTCAGGGCCCCCCACTCGGGCTGCAGCGAGGCCTCCTCATCAGCTTCTGCCCCGCCCAGGACAGATAAATATTTATCTTGAGAAAGCAAAGGTTAGGACGAAGAATTTGTCCAGGAATTCCGCCCACTCGCGGCTTGTCGGCTGGCCTGACTGGGGAGGTGGGGGGGGGGGCCGTGTAGGTGCCTCTGTCCTGTTCACAGGGAGAGAGGGTCTGGGGGCCCCAGAGGGTGGAGAGAAGGTGAGAATTATTTGAGAGCAGTGACCGCCAGCTGGGTCCCGCCCCCTCTGGCCTTAGTTTCCCCTTGCAAGAACCAAGCTGGCCAGGGAGGGCCAGGCACCCCCCACCGTCTGACGTGCCTCTGTCCCCCACAGCCCCCAGCGGCGCCCGGGCCGGGCCGGGCTGGCGGAGGCGGCTTCCGGAAATACCGATTCATTTTATTTAAGCATCCGTGGCACCGACAGGGACCCCAGAGCCCAGAGAGGGGCGGCGAGAGGCCCCAGGTCACACAGCGTGGGGGGCCGGGCCGGGCCGGGCCGGGGCGCTGAAGGCTGGGCCTCGAGGCTGACAGGCCACTCTCTGCAGGTCAGTGACTTCCTGTCGGGCCGTTCACCGCTGACCTTGGCTCTTCGAGTGGGCGACCACATGATGTTCGTCCAACTTCAGCTCGCGGCCCAGCACGCCCCACTGCAGCACCGCCATGTGCTAGCCGCAGCCGCTGCCGCCGCAGCCCGCGGGGACGCCAGCATGACCACCCCCACGTCCTCTCCCTGCCGGCCAATGTCCAGTGCCGCCCGCATCCCCCCAGTGCCCGCCAGCCCTGCCCCCGCGTCCCCCTCGCCCGTCACCGCCGGCTCCTTCCGATCCCACTCGGCTTCCAGCACCTGCCCTGAGGTGAGTCTGGGGGGAGGGTGCTTGGCCTGGGAGCCCGAAGGCGGGTCTCTCTTGGATGCGGTGGATGGTCGGGGACTTAGGGCGCCCAACGCAGCCCTGGTATCGAGGGCCAGCCCCGGACCCCAGGCTGCGGGGCGTTGTTGCGCCCTGAGCTCACGCACCTCCCTTCCCCATCAGCAGATGGACTGCTCGCCCGCTGCCAGCACGGGGGCCAGCCCCGCGTCCACCCCCGTGGGCAGCCCCGCGTCCCGCTCCCGCAAGCCCGGCGCCGTCATCGAGAGCTTCGTGAACCACGCCCCCGGGGTCTTCTCAGGGACCTTCTCCGGTAGGTGGCAGGGCTCACACGAGTGTGTCCCCGTGGCGGCCGCGTGCTCATACACCAGGGGTGGGACCCCTGGGGGGCTCCACACACACCTGCGACCCTGTGGCAGGCCACGTGTCCTTCTGTGGCCTCCTGCCCCGGGTTCCGGCCCTTGGGCACTGACTGGCGCCCCCTGGCCCCTGCAGGCACGCTGCACCCCAACTGCCAGGACAGTAGCGGGCGGCCGCGGCGCGACATCGGCACCATCCTGCAGATCCTCAATGACCTCCTCAGCGCCACGCGGCACTACCAGGGCGTGCCCCCGTCCCTGACCCAGCTGCGCTGCCACGCTCAGTGCGCCCCTGCCTCGCCCGCCCCGGACCTCACCCCTAAAACTACCTCCTGTGAGAAGCTGGCGGCCGCCGCCTCCCTGAGCCAGGCCCGCGCGGGCAAGCCCCCGGGTGAGTATCGGGCGCCCCGCCCATTCTCGCTGCTCAAGGCCCCTCTGTGTGCGCTCCGAGCAGCTGACCCGCCGGAGCTGGGGGGCCGCCAGCTGCCGCTTGCCTCGCTGGGGGAGAGCCTGCAGAAAAGGGAGCGTGTGTTGGGGGCACAAAGTGTCCTTGTGCCCTCCTGGGAGGGGTCCGTCCTCACTTCCTTTTTGCCCCCTCGCGCCCCCCCCCACCCCCGGGCACCTTCTCCAGATGGCAGGTGGGGCCTCTGAATGGCCAAGTCAGTCTGAGGAGGGACCCAGCTTCCCCTCCGGCCGATGGGCCTGTGGCCCCCCTCATCCCCACCCCCGCCCCCCAGCCTGGTTGTCCCATAAGTCTGGAGTCGCGAGAAAAGGTGGCGCTGCTCTGCCCCGCGGGCCCCTGGCCAAGGCCACGAAGGGGAAACCGAGGCACAAGCCTGCATGCCAGTCCTGGGTCGCAGGGGGAGCCGGAAGGGCTCAGGCTGCTGCTAACTCGTGCAGCGATTGTCGTGAGCGCCAGTCCTGGACGCAGCCCTACTTCTGCGGGCTCACGGCTGGCACAGGGGACGTGGACACACCGTTAAGAAACCTGCATCTCCCAGGGGTCCGGTGGACATTCTCGACCGGCTCCCTTGCTGTGTCTGCCTCTTAGAAGCATTTGCTGGAGGTCCTTGTATTGTGGGGACCTGGCCTCTCCCTGGGGGTTCACAGTCACTGTCTTCTCTACAGGGGACCGGCTGCGGCAGACGGAAAACCGCGCCACCCGCTGCAAGGTGGAGCGCCTGCAGCTGCTGCTTCAGCAGAAACGGCTCCGCAGGAAGGCTCGGCGTGACGCCCGCGGCCCCTACCACTGGGCGCCCAGCCGCAAGGCCGGCCGCAGCGACAGCAGCAGTGGCGGCGGCGGCGGCGGCCCCAGCGAGGCCGCGGGCTTGGGCCTCGACTTCGAGGACTCCGTCTGGAAGCCAGAAGTCAACCCCGACATCAAGTCAGAGTTCGTGGTGGCCTAGGAACCGTGTCCCTCTCCCCGGTCCAGGGTGGCCGCGAGCATCGCCCGGCGTAGGCGGGCAGGAGGCTAGGCGGTGGGGGGGCGCCACAGGAGGCCTCCCCCTCCCCATCCGGGGTCCTTTTGGGTTTTTTAAATTTCATTTCTCACCATGGTTTTCCAAACTCTCCGTGGCCTTGCGTTCCTGCCTCCTCGGTTCAGCTCCCACCTCCCCTTAGCAGTCTTTCCAGATGGTTCAGAGCAGAGACAAGGAAGCCGCCCCCACCCCTTCCGCCGGCTCCGCCGCTCCCCCATCCTCTTCAGGTTAAAGTCAAAACATAGATGCCTCACATGCACTTTACAGACAGGGGAGGGGGCATGGAGACGAGCCCCACTGCCAACTCCGGCCACCCCCACCCAGCCAGCCGGGCCCGCAGGCTCCAAACACCGCCCGGGAACCACAGGGCCTGTTTCTCTTCCACGTCTGTGCTTTTTTCTCTTCTCGGTTTCTTTTTCCTGGAAAAGAAAAGCTGTTTCAGGGGAGAGGCGAGCCAGAGCCTGCCTTGGGGTTCAGGTGGGGGCGTGGGACCCTTTTCTGCCAGGAAAGGAAAGGGGAAGGAGGGGAACAGACCCGTCGCCAGCTCTCTCTGGCCACGCACTGTGCGATTTCCTCTGAGGCCACACTCCTGCCCCGCCCCTTTTTTTTCCCCTGAGTTTGGGGTATTTATAGACTATTAATTTTCTGACTGAGCCAATAGTGGTTGGGAACCTCTTGAAAAATCAGGAGAGAAATGGCTGGGGGGTGATGGAGATGCCCCCAGCCCTCCTTTCTGGCCTTTGGGATCTGGGCCTGTGAGCTGTCTGGCGGGGGGGGCGGCGGGGAGGGCCCTCTGGCTCCCAGGAGGGGAAGGGGTGCTGAGCTGTGAATCCCCCCAGTAGGGGCGACGCCGAGTAGCATTAACCCCTGGGGGGTTCGCTGCTGGTCTAATTTGGAACCTCCCCACTCATGCCCATACCCCAGGGGTCTTTGGCCCCCACAGCAGACAGACACCCTATTGGGGCCATTTCAATGGGGGAGAGTTTATTTTTCATTCCTCCCAGGAGGGGAAGGGGTGCTGAGCTGTGAATCCCCCCAGTAGGGGCGACGCCGAGTAGCATTAACCCCTGGGGGGTTCGCTGCTGGTCTAATTTGGAACCTCCCCACTCATGCCCATACCCCAGGGGTCTTTGGCCCCCACAGCAGACAGACACCCTATTGGGGCCATTTCAATGGGGGAGAGTTTATTTTTCATTCACTTTTTTTTTTTTACTGATAAATGCAGATGTTTGGGTCCTCCCCCCCATACCTGTCTTGTCGTGGCCCCACGCGTCTGTCATGCGCAATGCCCCGCCCCCTGCCCGTCCCACCCCCTATGTCCTACCTGTAGGTGACCCCCAGGTCCTCACCCCTCCCTGTTATGTGTTTGAAGTTAATTTTTTCAGATGTGAACATGTGTTAACTGTAGCTCTGTAAATTTTTTTGTGGGGGGGTGGGCAGGGAGGGGTCGGAGGGTTGGGGGGGTTCGAGGAATTTTTTTTTTTTTTCATTTTCCAAAAAAAGAAAAAAGAAAGAAAAAGGGTGGGTTTGTTTTTGAAGAGCTGTCTTGGATATCTATTTAAATGTGTGTTCTTTTTTTGTTTTTTAACGATTTTTAAATAATATCTGTGCCTCCGCGGGTCTGAGGGTGGAGGCCCCAGGCAGGAACCGGCTCCCCCCACCCCGCTGCCCTCTCCAGGGCCCCCCCCAAGAAAGCATTACCCGCCCTGGGGGTGGAGTTCGGGCTGTGGGGCGTCCCAGCGACTTGAGTGAGTTTCCTGTACGAAAACAAAATTGGAAAAGAAAAAAATTTACACAAACACCGTGATTTCAAGTAATAAACAGAAAACGAAATGCAGTGGCTGTCTTCCTGCTCCCTCGGGGGTTTGGCATGAGCGTGGCAGGAGGGGGTCTTAATGAAGATCGGCCCGGGTGGGAGGCTGGGGTCTCCCCACCGCGAAGTCTAAAAGGGGAAGGGCTGCATCCCACGACAGATCCCAGGCCCTCCGCCTGCTCGGGATGAGGGTGGGCAGGAAGCCGCCCCACCAGCGCAGGGAGGGGCAGGCCACTTCCCGGTACCCAAGGCCGGAAGTCCTGCAGGGTGTGGGCACAGGCTGCCCGCTTGCTGCGTGGGGCCTCGCCCTCTCGGTTCCCAGCTCTGGTGGGCCTGGACCGGAGCCCCCTCCCCCCAGGATGCCACCGAGGCCCACTCCCGTGCTAGACTTCCAAAGGTCGCAGTCTAGCAGAGGGGCCGTGATTCCCAGGGGACCCGGGGCTGCTGTTCGAGTCTTCCCGGCGTGATCCGGCCCTGGGCGAACTCCCCCTCTCTGGCCTCGCGCGGACCTTGCATTCCTGTGCTCCCCAGCCCTGACCGCCGGCGTGGAGCCTCCAGGCCTCCGCCTAAGGCCGTGCCCTCCCCAGCCACCTGGTCCGCCTGGGAACTTGCTCAGTCCGCTTCTCCCACCCTGCCGCCTGGGGCCAGTCCTCTCTGGGGTCCCACCTTCATCCACTTTGGGGTTGTGCAGACTCGGGACAATCATAATACCTAGTCATTTTACATGGGTTTCCCCACTGAACCACGGCAACCTGAGAAAACTAATTGCACTCCCATAGGATAGATAAGCAGACAGACCCAAACAGAAGCCTCGCGTGCCCGAGGGTGTTTGCGAAATCATGACCACCACCCCAGGCCGCTGCGGATGGCTCAAGCCTCAACCCCAGGGACCTCGAGGTGGAGGAAGGGAAACAGGCCTCCCTCCCAGGAGTGTGCTGGGGGCATCTTGGGGAGGCCCTTCGGCTCCTCCCACCTCCGAGTTACCCCCCAAATCATTGCCCGCCCACGGCAGGAAGGTAGGATGTCCAGGTCAGGCTGATCCCTCCAGACCTCAATGTCAGCGGGGCGGCCGTCCCCGCGGGTGGTGGAAGCGTGGGTGGGACAGCTCAGGTAGAACTCCTGGGCCTGCAGCCCGGCCCTGGGGTGGGGGTGGGGGATGAGGGCCGAGGGCCGTGACCCAGGTGACCGCCTTAGAGCTGGGTGGGGGATGCGGAAGGAGGGTGTCGACTGAGAAACCCGCTGAATCACAGGGCTGTGTCTGCACGCTGCAGGGCGCGGGTGCGGGGGGCGGCACTTGCCCGGATGCCCAGGGACCCACGCCTTGGGGCTGCCTGGCGCCCAGCCCAGGGACGCGAGGGTCACCTGCCCCAGAGTCCCAGGAGGACCCAACACCGAGTAGGTGCTGCAAGCCTACAGGGCAAGCATGTGCAGGAGTCGGGGTGGGAGTGCCCTGCCCTGCCCAGGAGCTGCAGCGGCCGGAGGGGCGAGAGCCCAAGCCACACGGCAGTGGGAGGCACGAAAAGGTAAATCGAGGCCCAGAGAGAGAGAAGGGCCTGCGGGGATCGCAGGGGGCGGGGTCGGCCTGGCACCGCCCCCTGCCCCCAAGAGGAAAATTCTGAATGGGAGGAGGCGGCCCCCGGAAACCCGCAGGGATGGAAACGCGGTTTCCAGGGCAACGCGCCGCGAAACCGGCCTGACGTCACCGCGGGGAGGGCCCCCCCTCCGCCCCCGTCCTCGGGTCAAACGGTCCAGGCCCCGCCCACCCCCGGGGACGCAACATTGGTGGCCGCCCCGTTGGCTCCTTGGCACACACCAATAGCAGCGCGGGATGCCGCGGGGAGGCGGGACTGCGGCGTGGCCTGCGCAAGCGCGGCGGGGAGGTGTCGGGCTCCCTCCCTCTGGCCGCAGGTTTGAGGGCGGCGGCTACGCTTGGACGGAAGAGAGGGCGTTCCCGGAGGCCCCCAGCACCCGCGGGCTCGTGTGCACCCCTCCTTCCTCGCCCAGGCATTGCCTGCTTCCCCCACCCCCACGACCCCGTGTGAGCGACCCCTGGGCTGGGGAAGCCCGAGGAACCCGAAGAGGGCACTTTGGCTGAGGCTTTGCCAAAGGAATAGGAGTCTGCCAAATAGAGGAAGAGGGAATGGGTGTCCCAGGTGGCGGGCACGGCGTGTGCACAGACCTGGAGACGTGAAAGCAGGTGCATTTGGGGGGCAGCCGAGAAGGCAGATTGGGAGGGAGAAAAACAAAAGGCCAGGACCAGAAAGAGTGATTCTCCCAAGACAGGTTTGGAGGATGAGCTGGGGGCCAGGGAGGAGCAACCAGAAGGGCAGAGGAGAGGCCAGAACATCCAGGAGGGGGCTGGAGGCTGGGCCCGGGCTCAGGCCCAGCGGAGAAGCCTTAGGAGCGACAGATGGGGCGTCTTCTGATGGAGACCTCCGGCTCTCAGCGAGGGGGCTGGCAGGGAGACTGCAGAGAGCCGGGGAATTGGAGGAAGGACCCCTGTGAGCAGCTGGCCCACCTCGGGGCAGGTGTGAGGTCGTGGTTAGGGCGGCAGGAAGTCCACGTTGCTGCCTGGCTGCGGCTCAGATTGGGCTGTAACCTGGAGTCGCTCAGAGAAGGCCTTGGTCAGCGTGAGCAGGGTGGCCTTTGTCGACTGGGTAGGATGTGAGCCAGACCTTTAGTCCAAGGCTGAGACCAGCTTCGGGGCCAGTGGTGTGGACAGGCGTGGCCATCAAGACAGGCCAGGTGGTGGCTCACAGGTGGGCCACAGTCCTGGGGGCGTGATGAGGCCAGTGTAGGTGGGCAGGAGAAGGTCACCGGGGTCGCAGCGCTCTCGTTGGGGGCTGGCCGCGGCGTTTTGAAATGTCAAAGCCAGGCCCCAGGCAGGGCCGGAGATGGATGGCAGTGAGCGGTGCACCACGGGGCAGCGCACCCCCGCCCGGCCCGGGGCGAGGGCCCGAGCATCGCAGGCCCCACCGGGCCTGGCGGGACCCGCCCTCCTCTCGGGCGCCTCGGGAATGGGAGTTACTAAGCTGAGGGCGCTGGCGCCCAACCCAGGAGTCATGACTCCAGCCCCACCCACGGCCGTCCAGCCCTGGGAGGGCAGAGGACAGGCGGCCTCTGGTGCCACTCGGGACAGGTGAGCAGCCCGGCCCGTGGGTGGGGGCGGGGCCGCAGTCACCTGGAGCCGCGCTTCCGCGACTGGCCTCCCCTGAGACTCTGTCCTCGACCGAGTGGCCTCTGTCTGCCCTGCTCCCCTTCTCTGGCTCTGTCTACGTCCCCTCTCCCCGCTTCCTTTCTGCCTCCCTCAGTCTCTCGGCCTGTCTCTCTTCCCATCTGGGTGTCCCTCTATTTTCGTCCGGTCTCCGTTCCACCGGCCCCTCCCCCACTTCCGCCCCCTCGCTGGGGCCCCCTCCCTCACCCCCGGCGCGCATTCCAGCCTCCACCCCCGCCTCACCGCCCCTCCCTGCCGTCAGCTGCTGCTGTGCTGGGTGCCCAGGACGGAGGGAGTGGGCTCGGGCGGGGATCACGGGCGGGGAGCGGACGGAGGTGGGGAGGGCACCTCCTAACCCCTCTGGAATGTGGGCCGGACGGGCCTCGCGGAGGGGGTGGTCTCCCGCAGGCAGGCGGAGCTGGGGGCCGAGACAGTAGGCCACCCGTGCCCCGCACATAGCCCAATCCCCAGACTCCCACGCAGGGCTCCCTATCGCCCCCCACCCCAGACCAGCGGGACCTCTCCGGCGGACACTCACGGGTAGCACCGCCCACCACAGCGCACCCGCTCTGCCACATAGCGACCCCAGGACACGACACCCACACACACCCAAAGCGGCCCCAGCCCACACTTTGGTTCTGCCACGACCTCAGTCAACTCTGTGACCCTCAAATCGAACCGCACCCCCACTCTCAGCCTTGGCCAAGACCTCCCTTAACGAAACCGCAAAATTGAAAGTCACACCCGGCAGCCGGCTCTCAGATCCTCAGACTTGCTCACCCACCCAAGCAGCACCCTCCCCCAGACGCTCCGGGGCTCAGCCACAGACGCGCCCACCCACGCATGCCCACCGGAGCCCGGGATCCCAGAGGGGACAGGTGCAAGGGGGGGGCGCCCTCACCGCATCGCTGTTGGGGACGTGGAGAAGCGGGGGAGTGAGCATAATAGACAATTCCCTGTCCTGCGACATAGAAGGAAGAGAACGGCAGAAAACCGGGTGCTCCCTGAGCACACGTGTCTCTGCTTGCGTTGGGAGAGAGGGGCGCGCACACACGAGCGTGGGCTGCTGACCCCACAGCTCTTTCCTGAGTTCCTGCAGCTGCTGGGGGAGAGGGCACTGTTCATACCACTTCAGTGTTGCCTTGGAGATACCCCAAGCCCCAGGCGGGGGTTCTTCTGCCTTCGCTTGTACCTGCAGGCAGCCTGTGTGTGGGGGGCCAAGGTCAAGTGAGTGGACAGGGCCCGGGTGGGGCCAGCTCCTCCTGATACAGGTGGTATGCATGAATGCATGATCTTGGCGTGTGTGCTTGCCCGTCACTGCATTTGCCACCCCGTCTGTGCCTCAGTTTCCCTCAGGAGAAAAGGCCACCGGGTCTCTGGAGCATCGTGAAATATGGAAAGAGCAAACACGCGTGTGACCCAAGAGGCCCCCACAGTCCCGCCCAGGCGCAGGTGTCTCGCGGGTCCTATTCTGCAGCCCATCGCATGGATAGGCAGTTGGCCCGGTCTGGGCTCACCAGCAAGCCCTCCACCCCGCCTGGCCTGTGCACTCCGGGGTTGGGGGCCTGGGCTGACGGAAGAGTTGGCAGCTCTGCCAGGGCCCCCTGCCCTGAGCATCCTCCTTCCCGTGGAGACCCCTGCCAGGGACCAGATGGCAACAGGCCCAGGCAGCCTGAGTCTCCTGTGTTCAGAGTTGGCAACCACCTGGGGCCTGCTGGGATCGCGGGAGCCCCCGCCTCCTCCTGCAGGTGGGAGCCGAGAGGAGGGCTGGCCATTTAACCCTTTCCCCTCCGCTCTGGCCCGCCTGGCCCTGGAGCTCTCTGCCCAGGAGGCCCTGACCCCTGCTGAGGCACAGCTTGCAGTGCCCACCTCATGGCATGAGTCACCCACACCCAGCCCTGTCCCTGGCCGCTCCCACAGCCACATCCCCTATGCACACGCTTCGGGGTCTACATGCAAGCCCCGTGTTCTTCACGTGCAGCGCCATGCAGGCGTGTGCCTATGTGTGCGCACGCACACACCTCCACGCCAGTTTGCACACACGTGGGTTCCATACACACTCGTGTCCATGCAAGCATGTGTCCCCAGAAATCCTTGTTTCTCCGACTCTGTGCCCACGAGTCCCCTGCCCACAGGCACACATGTGCACCACACCTGGCAACGCGCGCACACATCCAGTCTCCACTTCCCCCACCCTGGCTCGGGGCCTCGCGGATTTGATCCAGGCGGGCAGGCTGCAGTCTGTGCCAGGACCGTCCCGCTTCCGCGCCCCCGCCCGCCGGCCGCCAGGTGCACGGGCCCGGGCCCCGCCCGACAGGCCGGGAGGGGGCGGTAATTACGCGGGCCCGAGGGTGCCCCCCACACGCGTCTTTCATCTTGTCCACGCCCATCCCAGGCCCAGACCGTCATTACCGCCTCGCGCCCGGTCATTAGCCCAGGTCGGGGGAGGACCGGCGTCTGGCCGGCCAGGCCCTGAGTGAAGGCGGGGGTCGGTGCGGGAGCCAGGCCGCCGCACCCCCGTCTCCATGGCGACGCCGGCGTGGGGCGGGTCGGGTCATGGCTGCGGGGGGCCAGGAGGCCGGCGGCCCCTTGGAGAGGGTCGATATGCTAACGCACCGACCGGACCCTCCGGTCCTAATCCCCGTCCCGCCGGGCAGGCGGCGAGCACCCCGCGTCTGGGCCGCGAATAGCAGCCTCGCCCCCGCCCGCGGCTATTTTGAGCCCCCTCCTCCCCGTCTGCCGCCCCCTCTGGCGCTCGGGTTGAGGCACGGGGCGAGACAGGGACCCCCTCCCACGCTGGGACACGCGGCGGGGCGCTGGATATCCTGGCGGGACCCGGAGCCCGGGGCCAGAGTGACAGCGAGGCCGCAGCGCCCCCTCGTGTCCGTGGGAAGAACGTGGTGCAGCGGCTGTGGCAAGAATGAGGCCGTCCCATCCCCCTGAGAGTATCCTCACTGGGACACACGATTCTGGTTACACACTGCGTCACAGGGACACGCAGACGCAGGTAACCACAGAAACAAGTATGGAGACAGGTTACACACCTGCGAAACAGGTACACGGAACCCACGCAATGCCTGGTGCAGGCACACCTGGCGAAATATCCACAGGTATGGCTCCACACCATCATGGGAACCCAGGACAGTCGTGGGTACACATGGAGCCCGTATCCAGCAACGGGATCGTAGTAAACGCTTAATAACTGCGTGCCGGCGGAATGAATGAATGAATGAACAGGGCACTTCACAAAACCAGGAGAAGGCGGACTCGGAACCACAGACCGGTGGGGGCGGGGCGGAGAGCGATCGGGGCGCGGGGACTGCAGGGACCCCGTGGCCTGGGATGGGGCAAGGAGCCTCTGACCTGACTTTACTAGGAAAGCAGATCAGAAAGGGTGGGCGGGAATTGCTCCTGGGCTGGGGAGCCGGGCCCCAGGCCCCCCCTTGGGCTGCCAGCGGGAGGGGGAGCTAAGTGCTGATGCCTTTCTCTGCTCCTTTTAATAACCACGCTGCGTGAGTGGCTGACGCAGCAGCGGGCTGCTGCTGACTGGGAATTGTTTGGGGGGGGGAGGTGCAGAGGGGGCGGCGGTGAATCATGAGCTGCCGCCTGGGAGAGGGGGGGTCTCAGCGACCTTGGCACGGGAATCAGGGTCCATACCCAGGTTCCTGCTGCATCAGTTAGATCCACCTGAGGGATCAAGAGTGGAGCTGGAACTTCTCTGGAGTGGGCAGTAAAGCCGGCTGTGAGGTGTGTGGCGGGGGGGCCTCTGAAATCCCGACATTTCTGCGGGAGGTCTGCCTTCTGAAGCCTTTCTAGTCTGGGGCTGTAACTTGGGTCTTTGGTCTGACAGGCAGAAGTCTCCACTAGCTTCTTCCACCCAATGGAAGGGGCCAGGGCCTCGGGAGGCCTGGGCAGGGGGCAAGTGTTGCCTATAAGAGGAGCGCCCATAAAATGGCCTTGAGGCTCCCCAGGCACAGCCTTGGGGTTGAGGGTCTCTACAAAGCTGCTTCTCCTGATAGCAGAGGTCTTGGGACGCCTCTAAAAGAAGAAAATGACGCAGGGGAGGAGCAGAGGCGGCCCCCCATGGGTAGTGAGTGGGTTCTGGGTATGGTGGGGCAGAGGTGCTAGAGACTGGTGGAGGAAGGCTGGGGCTGAGCTGAATGCAGGGGTGCAGTGGGCACTCGAAGGCTGGGCCCAGTGGTGGGCTTGGGAGGCCAGGTGGAGGTCAGCCTGAGGTCTATAGCTGCAATGCACAAGTGTTCCGCCAGGTGGGGGTGGGGGTGGGGGCGAGGCCAAGTCAGGGTTGGATTAGAGTTAGGTGTGGGTGCGGGTTGGGTAAAGTTGGGGTGCCCGAAAGTTGGGAAGTAGGAGGAATTGGGACAGTGGGTGGTGGATACTGGAGTCCACATAAATGGGCATGTGTCAGTATTGGAGTTTGGTGGGCTTTGCAGCCGATCACGTGATTTCAGGAGCTTTAGGGTCCTGGGAGTGCTCGGGTGTGGGTTATGTGGGCAAGTGTATCAGGACTGGTGCTGGGGTTCAGATGAAGTTGGTGCATCCGGGACCTTGGGCTTCGTGGCTGCGGAACCCTGGGTGAGGTCAATATGCCGGCGATTGCTGGAGTACAGCAAAGGTCAATGGTGGGGCGACGCCCGGGGCTCCGGCCCTCGGCATCAGAGGCCTGAGCCCTGCTTTGTTCCCGGCCGGAGGCCTGGAGGCGGGCACGCGGAAGTGGGTCAACCCCGCCCCGACGCGCGCCTGCCACGCCCCCCGCTCGCGGGTGGGGGACTGCGGACTGTGCGCATCCCCGCCAATCATCGCGCCCCGAGCCGGCGCGCGGAAGGAGGCGGGGCCGAAACAAGCCCGGCCCCCCAGCTCATGAATATGAGGCGCGGCCGTGGCCTCTGGGGCCTGGGATTGGCCAGCGCTGTGCGGGGGGCGGGCTCGGGGGGCGGAGCCCGGAGGCGATGTACATAAGGCCGGGCGCCCGGCGCCCCCCTCACTCGCGCGTTAGGAGACTCTGGTCGTTCTGCTTCGCCGTCTTTCCGCCTGCGTGAGGGACCTGCCCGACACAGTGGTGAGGGCCCTGGCGGCACCGGCTCCACGGGCCCGGGCGGCGGGCGGCCTGTAGCCGTACAGACGAGGCGGGGCAGCGGCGGCACGCCCCTGGGCGGGGGTGGTCCCAGGGCGGGCCCGGGGTAGAGTCCGCCCCGCCGGCGGGGAGGGGCAGCGAGAGACCGGGCCGAGTCGCGGCCGCAGGTCGTCTCCTCGGTAGCCTAGGCTCGCCGAGAGCGAGACACCACCGCAAAATGGCGGCGGCGACGGCGAGGCTGTGCCCCGCGAAATGGCGGGAGCGCCGAGTTCCCGGATGAAGTGGCGCAGGCCGCGCGCAGAGCGCATGCGCGCGGCGAGGGCGGGCCTGGGGCGGAGCCACGTGGCGGGGCCCGTTCGGGACTCCGGCTTTCCCGGTTTCCCGTTGCAGTTGCAGGAGGGCAACGCGCTCCCCCTCCCCTCCGTGTCCCACTCCGCATCCCGTCGTGCTAAGTTTGGTTGAGTTGCGCGGTTCCAGGCCTGTGTTTCCGGAGCCATTTGGCAGAGGGCCCAATCCGGAAAAGGGTCGCTCTTAAGTCAGCACCCGCCCCACATTTCCACGTCGGAGCCTCTCCCCACCCCCTCTCCCACCCCCTTGTTCCCTATGGAGGCCCAACCTACGACCCATCCTACAGCAGACCATTTTGCCACACTGCGCCTGGGCGATTGTTAGGAATTAGGCCTTCGTTTGCAAAGGCGGGCGGGACGAGGCGCACTCGGCCGGTTATGAAGTAGGACATACTTCCTTTGAGTGTCCATCCCTAAACGTACCCTAAGATGACATTTGAGGTCCAGAGCCAGGGCTGCACTGAAGAGAGCTGGGGTGCGGTCCCTCCCTCAGGGAGCCCCGGTGCCGGGCGGGCTTGAGCAGGAAAAAGGGGCCCAGGGCGATGAACGAGTTCTGAGTATTTTTGAGTTAAGTTCTGGATGTGGGCTTGGGATGAGTAAGTGACGCAAATTTCCCAGTGAGTTCCTATTAAGCACAAGCTCTTTGTATAAACTATAATGGGGTGAGTGATGAAGCCCCTGGAGGGTTTCCTTGAGGATTTCAATGTTTGTTACAGGCTGCCATGGCATCAGATGAAGGCAAACTTTTCGTTGGAGGGCTCAGTTTTGACACTAACGAACAGTCGCTGGAGCAGGTGTTTTCCAAATACGGACAGATTTCCGAAGGTGAGGCTGGCGCCGGGCCGACGGCTGAGCAGGGCCTCTCCTGGGGAGGCTGGGTGTCAACTGCAGATCTTTTCTCCTGCAGTGGTGGTCGTGAAAGACAGGGAGACTCAGCGGTCGCGGGGCTTTGGGTTTGTCACCTTCGAGAACATCGACGATGCCAAGGACGCCATGATGGCTATGAACGGGAAGGTGAGAGGCACGGGGTTCGGGCTCCTGAGGGTGGGAGGTGAAGAGGCTGACCTGAGCCAATCTCCCTCCTCCAGTCTGTGGATGGGCGACAGATCCGAGTTGACCAGGCCGGCAAGTCGTCTGACAACCGATCCCGTGGGTACCGAGGTGGCTCTGCCGGGGGCCGGGGCTTCTTCCGTGGGGGCCGAGGCCGGGGCCGTGGGTTCTCCAGGGGTGAGTGCCACTCTTGGGGCCTGAGGCCCTTGGGGTCAGGGTGGGAGAGGTGTTGGCAGGAGCTGGTACCCACTTGTTTTTCCTGTCCGTTTGTAGGAGGAGGGGACCGAGGCTACGGGGGAAGCCGGTTCGAGTCCAGGAGTGGGGGCTATGGGGGCTCCAGAGACTACTACAGCAGGTGAGGGTGTGGTCTCGTGCTGAGCATGGCAGGCTTCTGTCTGGACGCTGGCGCGCAGGGGCGAGCAGACCAAGGGGCGCTCCAACACGCACATGTGTCCTTCCCACAGCCGGAGTCAGGGTGGTGGCTATGGCGACCGGAGCTCGGGCGGGTCCTACAGAGACAGCTATGACAGTTACGGTAAGTCACGCTCTGAGGGCCTGCGGTGGGAGCTCAGCAAGCCCTCTGTGAGCGACACTCAGACCTTGTCACTGTGCTTGCCCGTGAGGGACGAGACTGTCTTCTCAGGTCTCGCTGCCAGCAGCCGTTTTTGCCACAAAACAAAAGCTAAGCCAGACTGACCAAGGAGGAAAGGGAGACGAGGGGCCCGCCGAGCGGGCAGCATAAGTGCATGTGCGGCCGCCCGGCCCCGCCGCCCTCGGCTGTGGGGGGGGTTGGTTGCTCCTGAGGCCGCAGGGCCGAGCCCTCCAGGTCTGGACCCGGGAGTGGAATGCTGCCTCTTGTCGCGTGCTTCAGTGCCTTTACACTGTACCTGCTTCTTGTTCTCAGCTACACACAACGAGTAAAAATCCTTCCTGCTCAAGATCGTCCTTCCAATGGCTGTATATTTAAAGATTTTGGGAGCTTCGCTGAATCGTTAATGTGTAGTGAACACACCTCCTTGTACCCACTTTTGTAGTCTTATCGGTTCTGATCTTGTCAAACACAGCCTGACTGCTTCTGACCCCCAGATGGCCTCATTACTAGACTTTTCTTTTTAAGGAAGCGCTGTTCGTTTTTAAGGGTTTTAAAAACGTTTTGAAAAGCACTTCAGATTTCACTTTTTTTTTTCTTTTTTTTTTTCTTTTTTACCATGAGCCATGAGTTTTTAAGAAAATCATCGGGGTCGTGTGGGTTTTGTTTTTGTTTGTGGTTGTGTTCCCTTTTTTATTTCCCTTTCTATTGGGGTTGGCCCCGTGAAGTTGGGTGGGTGCCCCAATTCAGTCCTCCCTGAGATCGGACTCTGAGTCCACTGTGTCGGAAGCTGACGAAGCTGCGGCTTTTTTCCAGCTCCACGTACTGTTTCTGAGTGTAGCTCGGTAGGCCCCGCCCCTGGGCAGCAGCAGAGGGGCCCGGCTGTACGGCCCATCCGTGCTGTGTGTGACCCACAGTCGCCTTGCAGACGTCCCTGAGAGGTTCTTGAAAATGTTTATTTATATTGTCCTTTTTTACTGGAAGACGTGTGCATATCCCATCGATGTTGTATTTGAAGTGGTTAAGGAATTCTTGTACGCAGTTTTCTTTGGCTTTACGAAGCCGATTAAAAGACCGTCTGAAACGAACCTCGCTCTGCCAAGTTCCCTTTCATTGCACAACGCACTCCCGCCGCGAGCACGCGGCGCCCAGCCCGCAGCAGAGAGGGCAGCTTGCGGAGCAGGCCCGCGAGTCCTGCCTGAGGTCCACGGACAGCTAGACCCAGGAAGGCAGAGTAAACTGACACTGGCGGGCCCCTCGTGACAGCCGACCGCCACTGGTCCCCGTTAGCCGAGCAGGTGGGTGACGGGAGTGGGCAGGCCAGACCGCAGGGCAGCCCTGGGAGGCTTCTGGCAGTGGCAGCCGGAGGGCTCGACGGGGCGGGCAGCTCAGCAGAGACAGTGGACATACGGGCACCTGACGCTGACCCAACTGCCTTAGCCCAGGAGCAGGCCAGAGAGCGGACCGCAGGCAGTGTCCCTGGGGGACTGCAGACCGACGGCTCGTTAGCTTAGTCTTGCTGTTGCTTCACAAGTTCTGAGCGTTCTCCGCTAGCCTGTGGAAGCTGCAGCCCTCGGAGGACAGAAGTGTTGTGCGCCCAACAGAAACCTCTGAGACGCAAGCTGCTCCCTTGGCTAGCTCATATGTGGAAATAGCCCTGTAATTCGAGGTAACTCCTTTCGCTCGTGTCCACATCCCTCCTCTTGTCGAGCTCGTTTGAAAGTAAAGTAACGTGCCCGGGGAATGTTCCCTTGACTGGTTTTTGCTTTTCCATTTTTCTTTTTTGAATCAAGCTAGAATTAAAGTCAGACCCTGGCCGTAACTTCCCCGCCTGCGGCCAGGTGAGCGGCCCGGGCAGTCACGCTTCGCAAGTAGGTTCGATCCGTAAGCGGGATTGGAGACCACCGAACATCTTGCCTTTTGGATTTTTTGTTCGTCAATTGACCGTCTTTTTCCAGACCTCCTTAAGTCATGCTCCTAACCGTAGCGCTCTGATGTCTGTTGCCGCCATGAGTTTTTTCCCAGAGCCCACACCAGTCTCTAAGCAGCTCCATCCCAAGTGGGTCGCTGGCTCTGCTTAGGGATGGAACGTGGCCTGGCCCACCTGAAAGGCGCAGGCCTGCCCTGGGCACGCTGGCTCGTGATGGGGCCTTCTGTCGGAATGGCCCCGCTGACTAGCTTGACACCCTCCTAGGCGCTGTGGATGGTTTCAGGGGAGGTGGGGGGGGCAGCTGTGAGCACGTCCAGGACCCGGGGGGGTAACGCTCCTTTGCTTTGGCAGGTTGAAGGGAGACCAGTGTGATTCAGAAGGGCGGCCTGAGAGCAGCAAAGACCTGGGCTCACCGTCCCAAGAGGGACTTCACCTGGGAGCAGAAGCCAGAGGCGCAGCGCCCTGCCCTCACAGCTGGTCACCTGTAAGTGCTTTTCTGTGTGGGGGACAGGAAGTCCTTTGGTGGGTTCTCTGGTGTCCTTTTCCACGGGGAGCATGGGTGCGGCCACTTGCTGGAGCCAGCTTGCCCCCATCCTTCGTTTTTCCAGCAGGTGCTTCGTTGGCGCGGTTGGGGTGTGGGCCTTCAAGTTGCTCCAGGAGGATGGGTGTGTTGACAGCTCGCATGTGGCCAGTACTCACCTGCAGCAGCGTGACAGGACGTGGAAGTCAGATTTGAATAAAGGGCGTGTGTCCACCCAGAAATCTTGAGTCTGGTTTGGGGCGCGGCAGCGGAGGAGGGTGGGTCCCTGAGCCTCAGGTGGAAGCTGCGTTGGAAGGGGTGGGTGCTGGTGTGAGTCCCTCAGAAAAGGCCTCATCTGGCCTCGGTTCAGGGAACAAGCTGGACCGGAACCAGACCAGTCAGTCACTTCATCGTCTTGGGGTCTGAGGAGGTGCTCCCTGGGGCTCCTCATCTGAAGGGGGCACCCAGATCTTCCAGGGTCCTGGCAAAGGTCTTGGGCACAGTGCCCCTGAACACTTTTCATCTGTGCTGCACACAGGGCCCAGCTTGCTTTCTGAGCTGGTTCAACTCCTGCTCGGGTCATGGGGTACAGAGAGTTGGACCCTTGGCCTGTCAGCCCAACTGCCGCCAGGGCGGAGAGGATGGAAGTAGTCGATGTAGTGTGTGGTCAGGGTGGCCAAGGTGCCCAGGGTGCCCTTCCACCCCCTCACCTCCTGGGTGTGGCCCAGCGGGATTCCCAGGCTAGGGCACATGAGCCTCCTCTGGGAGGGCTCAGCCTGCAGCAAGGGCCACCCCGGTGGTCCCACCAGGCCCCCTAGGGTGAGCCTAGCTGGGGACCAGAATAGCTGAGTTCCCAAGGCCGCCCCCGTAGGATGGAAGCCCCAAGGGCCCTGTGCTGAGCAGGCCTTGGCCTTGCCTCCTGCTCTGGTCTTTGACCGCCTTCCACCATGTGCTTTGGGAACCTGGTTTCTGGGGAGTGGTCCTAGGGTACTGGCGAGACGTCACTTCCCCTGCTGCCCAAACTCCGCTCTCCAGGCACCCAGCTCTTGACCTGTCCCCCGGAACAGGGACCTCGGCGTGGCTGTGGCGGTCCGTGCGGGGGACGGGAGGGAGCAGGGTCGCCACAGGACGCGAGCCGATCCGGGGTGCGCGCGCAGTCGGTGGCGCGCGGAGTACTGTGGAAAACGTCCGGGGTTAAGCCAGGTAAGCGGCCAGGGGGTGGGGCGTCTGGTGCTCGGCTCCGCCCCCCCGCGCTATTGGCCAGCACCGCCCCCGCACCAGTGAGTGACGGGGGCTCCCGGGGGCGGGGCGCAGTCGCCGCTTCCGCCAGGCCATGGGGCCGCGCGTGCTGCCGCTGCTGCTCTTGCTCCTGCCGGCGCTGCTGCTGCTGTTAGCGCCGCTCTGTGGGGCTGAGGAGCCCACGCCTCCGTCGCCGAGCCGCGTGGAGACCACGCTGTCGTCACTGCAGGCCGTGACGAACGGAAGCAAGCCGGACGCGCTGCACAACAGCACGCATCCGGGGCCGCCGGGCTCGCCGGGCTCTCCGCTAATACGCTCCTTCTACGTGCTCACGGGCTTCTGTGGCCTGGTGGCTATCTACTTCCTCATCCGGGCTTTCAGGTGCGTCAGGCGCACGCCGCCGCCGCTCTGGTGCGGCCAATCAAAGCGCGCGTCACTCCGCACGTACTGGGGTGCGAGATCCCAGCTCTTCCGGAGCGGGCGTGGGCCTTTCCGCGGCGTCGTCACGTGGTTTGGGTGCGTGGGCGGGGGGCCGGCTGTCACGTGATATCCTGGTGCTTCGTGACGCGGCGGTGCGGATGTCGCTTTAGCAGAAGTAGCAATCGACGCTGCAGTGTACTTTTGGGGGGCGGGAGGGTGCGCCGGCTTTATGTCCCTGTCTGCATCCCCTCTGCCAAGCGACACCCACCAATCCAAACTGGGCCTGCGACCCCTGCCAATACTGTCAGGACTGAGGACTCTTCATCCTTCCCCACGGCCCACCCACCTTGCTTGGCTCTGGTTCAGGCCCACAGCTTCCGCTTTTCTCTCCCTGTCCGGGGCTGATCTCCGGAGGACTTTTGTCACACAGAGGTGACCATGTCCAGACGCTTTAAATTAGGGGCCTGTCCGCGCCCCACTGACACTCCTGTGAGAGCAGCGCTCTTGTTCTGAGCGCTTGACCTTCTTCGCATCCGCCGCAGAAGGTCCCCCTTCTTTCTCTATGGGCAGTCAGGAGCGTGGCTTTCGGCCTGAGGCAGCCCTCAGTTCGGTGCCTCTGACAACCCCTCACCCATGAGACTTAATTAGCTCATCAGTGGAGTGAAACGGACAGCGCCCCCCTCCAGAGGTCCTGGCCCAGGGGCCCGCCAAGGGAGGCGTCCACCTCTCGTTTTCCATATAAGAGCAGCTAATAATTACTAACGGTTAAAGAGGCACATGTCACGCAATTACACAAGAAGTCTCCACAGCAAGGCTTCAGGGGTGGGGCAGAGGAAGCCGAAGCCAGAAGCGAGGGAAGGATCATGCGGGGAAATGGGATGGGGTGTCACTGCCCCCAGAGGTGGCCAGAGACGGCCACTGATGACACTCGGGACTGCTTCCAGGTTGAAGAAGCCCCAGCGGAGAAGGTACGGCCTCCTGGCCAACACCGACGACTCCACCGAGATGGCCTCTCTGAACAGTGACGAAGAGACCGTCTTTGAGACGAGGAACCTGAGATGGTAGCGCAGCCCTGTCCCCATCGCCCTGGCTCTGGGTGGGTGGGTGGGCGGGCGGGCAGAGTTGGAGAGGCGTGAAGGCTGCGTGCTTGGAGTCATCCAAGTAACCACAGCCCAGTTGAAGGCTGTGCGGTCTTGGGCAAGACACGCCCCCCGCGAGCCTCAGTTTCCCACTTTTTTAAGACGAGAAAGGGCCGCAGAGCTTGAATCAGAGCTCTGGGCCCGGCCCTGAAGACCGGGATCCACACTGCGGGTGCTGTGGAGGGGGGTGGGTGTGGTCTCCTGGCCCCAGGATGAGCATCGTGTGGGGAGGGGGGGACTGGGAAGAGGGCTGGACTGAGGATGCAGGGGCTGCTGGCACAGAGCCTAGCCTGGGTCTGAGCAGGGAGTGATGTCTGTCCCAACCCCAGCTTGTTGGGGTGCAGGTATGGAGGCCGAACCAGGGGACAGTTCTGATTTCCTGGGCCCCCCAGGGGAGACATTGAGATGCTGCGATAGCTTCCCTGGTCTGCCACCCCTGTCTGGGAGACCCCCTTGTCCCGGCTACACAGGCAGAGCCAAGCAGGCTGGGGGAGGGGAACCCCTGTGGCCCTGGGGGCAGGGGCTGGACAGGTGAGAAGCTCCTGGTCACATGGAGGGTGAGCCCTCAGGCACAGCTCCACATCTCTCACCCCTGCCCCTCATCTTCCAGATGCTCAGGTTGGGGAGGTGGTGTTTCCAGCCGCCCTGAGGGAAGGACGGAGACGGGGGGCCCACTCCCAGGGCCGGGACACCCCCAATTCGGCAGCTGGCCTGAGAGCTCGTGCGGGGACTGCCCAGCCGTCCTGAAGCAGCCTTGGCCTTCCACCTGGACAGGACCACCCACGATGCTAGGTGCAAACCAGAGGGACCCTGGAGGCCCCACCCAGGGCTCTGAGGCCTCCTGGTCAAGCTATGACTTGTTCTGCTGACCCTGCCCCATGGGGACACAACAGCCCTGAGGTGAGGCCTGGCGAGCGAGTGAGCCGAGGGACCTGTTTGGGAGCATCTTCCTGCTGGGTGGGGGACAATAAAGGCAGCAGTGGCTCTTTGACTGGCACCCTGCTCCACACTGGGCCAGACCTGGCATCCCGGCTCACAGAGCGGGTGTCCGCCATCCGTGTCCACGCTGGCCTCCTTTGGCCTTGCCCTCAGCTGTGCAGAGGGTCTGGGGGAGTCCCACAGCGTGGACAGGGAGAAAGTGGATCCGCCGGGCTCCCTCTTCTGTGCTATGTTCAGCCTGGGACGCTTCGAGGACCATGCCCTCTGGGACCCTCGCCTCACCCCACTCACACTCCCAGCACCCTTGCTGCCCCTCCCCCATCGGCCTCCCGTGGGATCGTTGCTGAACTGGGCCCATCCGGGCACCTCTCGTTCCGAGTGAGGGGCTGCGTGGGTTCTCCTGTGGGCCTTGTCTTCCCTAGACCCACTGTATATGGGAGGGTCCAGCTTTGTCACCTCTGCCCTCTGTAAATCTGATCTTGGGGAGTTGGAGGGGAGGGGCTGGTGGGTGGCCTGCAGCCTGAGGCTCCTCTAGGTCACTGGCCAGTCATCACGGCCATGTCATTAGGAGGAGCTGCCACCAGGTGGCAGCCTTGCGCTGCCTGGTCTCTGCCCTGCTGGGCCCAGGTGTGGCTTGGGCTCCCCAAACAACTGTACAAGTTGGGGAGATAGCCCTCTGGGGGGCCTCTTTTTTTTTTTTTTTTTCCTTCGGAGCCTCACCTTGTCTCCATGTCCACTGTGGGGTGGGTCTTAGGACCCATCACCGCCCTGGGCCTGTCCACAGCCCACCAACCCGCCTTGCTAGAGCTGAGCCTAGGTTCCGGCCCATTGCCGGGTGCAGGGGCGCCGTCTCTGCCATGGCGAACTGGACCCCAGCTTGCTTCCTTGCTGTCTGCCTTCCAAGCTCCACTCGCACTTCCCTTTCCCCCTCCAGTGCTCAGCTGCCCCTTCCAGGGAGTCCTCCCTGACTGTACCCAGTTCCCCCGCACCATTCTTTGCAGACCCTCCAAGGTCGAGGAGGTGAGGCCAGAGTCTTTGGGAGGCCTCGAGGTGTTCGCAACCCCTGCCTCTCGGGCCCTGTGGCTTCCTTTCCACCTCTACCCGCCCTTCTCTCCCCGGGCATGTCTCAGCCGCCTCCCTGCTCACATCTCCATCTGCACAGCCTGTCCCTGGGTCTCCTTTCGTTTCCGCCTGTCTCTCTCTGCTCCCCGTCTCTCCCTCCGTGTCTGACCCACTGGGACATGCTTTTAACAGGCGCGCAGACACCGTGCCGCCCCCCGCCCTATGATCTGCGCCCCTCTCCGACAGCTCTGAGCAGTTTCTCGAGCTTCAAAAGGCACATTAATTACTCTAATGAGGTCAGGAGAGACCCCGCGTGTTTGCCATCCGGAGCTGGGAACACACTGCCCGCCCTCAGCCCGGCTGCCTCCTGCTCACCCCCGCCAGGCGGGGAGGGGCGCCCTATGCGTCCAGGCCCCAGCGCCTGTCAACGCCCATCAGCCCCAC